CTTTGTCACCAGATCTGGAAGCTCACGGAAGGGTCGGATGTGGAGGTCCATCCGCCGTCGTATTGGAAAAAGAAAAATGTGCTGATAATCCAAAGGACGGGATAAGACGGCAGATGATCCGGAAACGGGCATGAGCATGAGCAATGGCGCTGGGATTGTCACCTCACAGGAACAGACCCCTGCGAGATGACTCAAGTAAGCTGGTGGTTGGTAAGGCTTCACAGACCGCTGCTTCCCCTCTATCGTGAGGGGTTGCTCGTACTCCGTAGTCTTCTACTCCTACTTACTACTAACTGTCTATGACATAACTCTGCAATTGACCCTGCCAAGACACTCCTCTCAAGACCAAGACGAAGCCCCATCTTAGCTCTATGACAGGGCTTAGTCTTTACAGTGGAAGAAGCTATGCACAGAATCTTGTACATAGTAGTAACTCAACCCTACCGGGATGTCTCGGCTCGGGTTCGGTGCGGCTTTTGCTTCCTTGGACATTCTGATTGATGGAAAGGGTGGACCTTTGAGCTTGGCATCCATTTAAGGCTTAGTCTGCTGAGAGGATTACTCCAATAAGGCAACTCGCTCCGATTTTCGGACAGCGTCCCGAGCACTTGCCCCATGCTTAGTCAGGCTCGCTGTCATCATCGATGTTGGTGCTTTGGTTAAACCCGGATATCCGAATGGATCATTTCGAACTATGGATCAGAAATCCAAGACTCCAAATACATACCCAGGCCACTATTACCGGAGATATTCACATATATTCTATCGTCAAGATATTCGTATCTGGCGACATGCTCTGTGATTATAACAGTCGAATTGGTGGTTGATCCACAGTGCCCTGGTTACATCATCCAGCCCTGCCGATCCTATTATCAAAATTGCTTGTGATCTTATGGTTCACTCTCGGACCTCTGACGATCCATACATGCTCTCGTCGTATTCTCTCCATTCAGAAAGGATAGTCTGGCCAGTCTTAACACCGCTGTCTACCCGCCAACAACCGCAATACGACGTACTATCCGCGCTAGCCACGTCATTTCATAGATCAACCCTGTCGTTGACTCACGCCCTATGGCCAGGGTACGGTACTTTGTATTTGTCTGTAGTCTACGGAGCAGAGTCCGATCTCTCGAGCGGGGTTATGGAGACAGCCCTGGAAGAACAATAGAACATAATGTCCGCTAATTTCATAAACCGAAAATATGTTAGTAGACATTGCGGAGTAACTTGGTATAATATCTATCAGAATGGTCACGTGTCTACAGTATACTTGAATAGAATCATTGTCGCAAACTATGAGCATCTCTACTGTATCTTCTGTATATCAATTATGTATATATATAGCCAGCAAGATCCGAAGTCAACAAACGCAGGAACCCAGTCCCAATATCCCGGGACAAACTCAGATAAGCTTAAGCTTAACCCGTACCCGTCTAGATGAACCCGAATCTCCTGACAGAGCTTATATATAGCCAAGATAATCTCCGACTCCATGGCAATCCCCTGCAATGACGAACCGAAGGACGAGGACGGCCCACCGTTAGCTGCAGGTGTTGCTTAGGCTGAAGACAAACGTAGACTGGAGTCGATCTACGGGGAGGGGAGGCCGGTGGCGCTCGGCTGTTAGGTAGCAGCGTTTTCAGGCGGGAGGATCGGACTATCGGACTGGTGGCTTAGTTAATCGTGGTGGTGAGGTATCGGGTACTTGGACTCGAGGTCTACGTATGTGTCTCATTCTCCGTGGTGTGCTGGGGGGTCGCCTGGTTGGTGGCCTGCTGCCTGAGGGTTAGGGTTATGCTCCGTCCGTTTGGGCTTGCTGTTGCAGAGAAGAGATGATATATGCGGTAGAGAGGCACTGGCACTGGGTCTGGTATATTGAGAAGACACAGAAGTCAGGTACTGTACTCGTCTTGAGTACGTCTCTGACGGCTTCATGCTAGTGATATTGGCCTGTGATGGACTTGACTTGGCAAAAGCATGAGTATTTATCATTCGCTTGAACATAGTATGTATCTGTGATATAATTGAGCAAGGGAGATATCAGCAAGAAGGCTGGACTTGCGGAGTATAGTTCCAATCATAGCCTGTATATGATAGTCTTGAAAGTCTCCTGTGTCAACGCTACATTCGCCAGCTAGAAGATCTCCACTCTGTCAGTCAGTGACCTATATGACTCATCCAGTATGACATCTCACTGCGTTTCTGGAGTGGACTAGATTTCCGTGCAATGCCGGAAAGGGAACAGGTAGGACAATCCGGCATAAGCATGGAGAATTCTCATTCGTCAATTTGACTCTGAGTATTTCTAATATAATCTATCCATCACCCTAAATAGCCAGATCCTATATAAATCGTTTGATTCTGACTCGGTCCACAGACTCACCGATTCGACCCTCTAAATCGACAGCACAGCTCCCCACACAGACACACCTTATTCAACTGCTTCCAATAATGATCCGAGTAATCTACCGTGATCTCTCTCCCCGCTACTATACCTCGCGAAACAACAATGATCCGCTCCTGACCTCGCCAGTAGAACCGCTGGAACTGGCTGTTGGGCCGGCATGAATGGTTGATAAACCGGGTGAAGTTGCCCATTTCGCCCTGGTAGATCTGGTACGTTCTGCCTTTCGTGCCGCCTACCATGACATCCACGCCAGAGATACCGTTTGTTATGAGCCCGACGAATTCGCCGATTGCCGCCCCGCGGTCAAAGTTCTGCAGCTTTTATCAGCTGGTGTGCCTAGAACCCCCTAGAACGTGGACTTACCACACGCGCCACTACGCCATTGTTCTTTCCGCTGGCGGTACTGAAGATTTGTACCGGAGCAGGTCCCTTGACGCCTCCGAATAGCACTGGGAAACACGAGCATTGGTTCTGTTCGACGTCGTCCGCCTGTTTGGACTTGCAGACCTGGCAGATATCCGGATCCAGATCGGGTACGCGACGGGGATCTTCTTCGCCGAAGACTGCCGCATCGAGCACACACTCGTCGATGAAGCGATAATGAAACCCGTTCGGCAGGTTGAGGTGTACATAGGTCGCGTGCAGGGGTAGTGCAGGCTCTCCTGTCACTGTCACCCACTCGTGGGGGTGGCCATGATACTGGCGCGGGGTATCCCCCTGGCCGATAACGTGCAACAGATCCCTCCATTCGGGATGGAGAGTATCCGCTGCAACTTCCAGACTCGACCGGATATGGCGCAAACGAGTCGAGAAACCCTCGCCGAAGCCGGTGCGGTATTTGCAGAACCGGTAGACACCGGAGCTGGCGAAGATCAGGCTGGGCCAGCCGCCTGCATCTTTGATTTCTTTGTAGCCGCGCCAGATTGCCCTATATCGTCAGTGTGTGGTAGAAACGAAATGGTGGACTGAGTACATTCTGTTTCGGAGATCCTTCTCCTTCCAGTTGAGGACTGCACAGGCCTCTTTCAGCGCGGTCATCCGTGCCTCGGTACTGGATAAATGCGGGTTCTCCAGCCGGATGACGGCGATGCGCGCTTCATAGCATTCAATCCAGTAGGCCTGGACGATCATCTCCAAGGCGCGAGACGACTGACATTGATTGTAGTATTTCATGCAGAGAGTGTTGACAGCTCGGAAGACCTTTCTTGTCAGCCAAGTTCTATCCAAGTCGAGCACCGCTCACTCACATCTCCGCTGACACCAGTCCGGATGTTAATCGTGGGTTCAACCACCTGTCCGATTAGCAAAGTACATGCAAGCCGATCAGAGACATACAGTAGGGGTTCTGCTCAGCTTCACAGGTGAATACATCTGTCTCCAGATTCCCGCGATCAACTTGTCGGTTGATGTAGGCTCCAAGACTGGCGGGTTATAATCTTGTCCAGCTTTTCTACGCTGTGGAAACCCGGTGTCACTATGGACCTGCCGTACTGATCCGGAGACTGTGTCTTGATCCTCGCTGTGAGTATCGACACTATGGTCCGGCTCTGGAGACTCTACTGTTGTCCCGGCGGGCTGAAGATGCCGGGATGGTCGCAAACCGCTGACCGTCTTATGACGTTTGGGAGGATGGACTTCCTCATTTTGAATTGATCTGGGGGTCGGCGGTGTGTTCTCGTCCGTTTCATTGTCCTAGAAAATCAGTATACAATTTTACCAGTCGGAGATGGTCATACTCGAGGTGGAGTAGCAGTGGGGGTGATTTGGGAATATGGAATCACTTGTCCATCCTTTAGATCAATGGAGCCCTGATTAATGTAAGAATATAGTATATAGCCTCGTACGACTCAAAAGTTAATTACCAGAAGTATCGAGTCAGGCAGGGCCGAACGAGATGCATCCTTTGTACAGATGGACCCTTCTATGCGCAGGACAAGATGATCTTTGCTCTCGTAGCTCTGGTTTGCGTTATGGTTACTCAAAATAGATGCCAGCTGCGACGGAAAATGCTGGTTGCCCAACAGTGCGCACAATTGCGATACCAACGGACCCGCCATGCCATTGATTCAAGAGATATCAAATCAATCATAGATGAAGTTGTTGTGTATACTGGGCGCCCCTATTCGTCCGTAGTCCGTACCTTGGAATCTGCCCGCGCAGAAAAGCTGCTGACTCATCGCTCAGAAACCTCAACGCCATGACATTAAGCATCCTGATTGGCTGCAGAGTATATCAACACACACTGATGAGGCCGTTAAGTTCATGAGAAGATGCGTAGGAGCAGTTTTAAGATGAAGGTAGACAAAAAGAGAGATGACTGCGGTATACCCTATACTGTGTATCAATACTCTTCAGCCGTCAGTATCACCCAATCGCTCCAATACATTCTCCAGCATTGTCACCCAAAGCCAATCATCCTCCCCACCGGGAGATTTCGAGGAACGCTCGATCATCCTCTGATGATGAGGCCAAGAAACCCCGAGACAGAGATTGGCATAAAAGCCCTCCCATCCCTTTTCTGAGTCCACTCCTCCATCGCAAGTCATACCCTAGCACCTCCATATAGTCCATCCCATGCATCATCTACCCCGTCATGTCCTCCGACGAGCCTCTAACAAGAGAGAAATCCTGGCTGTCATATACATACGAAGGCCGCAAAGGATGGAAGTCACTCCGTGCTCTCAATCTCTTCCGGGGCGTGTATCACGACGTACGCCGTCGACTACCCTACTACTGGAGTGATATAACAGATGCCTGGACATACTGCGTTGTCGCAAGTACTATCCGGATGTACTTTGTCAAGTGCGCTTCTCTTTACTAGCCATTGAGCCATCTACTAATACGCTGCAGCATGCTCCCTGCCATTGCATACACATTGGATATGTACCGCCGCACTGGCGAGTTCTACGGCATCAACGAAGCGCTCTTCTCGTCTGCGATGGCGGCAATGATCTTCAGTGTCTTGGGTGCACAGCCCTTGACCATCGTCGGTATTACTGGTTTGATCTCCCTGTTCAACTACACCATTTACGATATCGTAACTATCTACAAGCCGGTCATCTACCCAAATTTCATGTGCTGGACTGCCATCTGGGCTGCGATCTTCCACTGGATCGTGGCTGTCTGTAACCTGTGTGACTATATGCGCTACGTCACGGACTTTTCGTCCGAGTCGTTTGGCGCCTATGTTGGCATTATCTACTGCAGTGAGTTCACCTGCGGTTACGGGAATGATAACGTACTGACAGTAGTAGTCAAAGGAGTCGAGGAATTAGTAATCGAGTTCACCACTCACGGCAACACTGCTGGGTTCATGAGCATCATAATCGCCATCCTATACTTTCTCACCATCTACGGCCTAGAACGGCTCGGCTCCAGTACCATCTGGAAACCCTGGTTCAGGGGCTTACTGGCCGACTACGCCTATGTGGTATGTATCCCCGGTTCGCCAGATCTTCATCAACTCACATCGTACAGATCGGGACCATCTTCTGGGTAGGCTTCTCGCATATACCCGGTAACCTCAAAGCCACCCACGTCTCGTTCGTCCCCATCACCCGGGCCTTCTACCCTACCCAGCCGCGCGGCTGGCTCATMCATTTCTGGGAACTCGATGCCAAATGGGTATTCGCCGCACTGCCCTTTGGGTTCCTGGTGATGCTCCTTTTCTACTATGACCACGTATGCCTCCTTACATCTTGTTAAACGAACAGCACTAATCCGAAAAGAAAGTAAGCAGCTTAACCGCCCAGGCAAGACAATTCCCCCTCAAGAAGCCCGCCGGGTTTCACTGGGACTTCTTCCTCCTGGGCTGCACCACCTTCCTAGCAGGCATCACTGGCATCCCCATGCCAAACGGCCTAGTCCCCAGGTAATCCCTACCCCCTCTTTCTTTCATCATAGCTGATCGATATCCAGGCCCCCGTACACACCGACTCCCTAACCATTTACGAAACCTCCCTCCGCACCATCTCCACCTCCGAAGGCGAGGGCGCCGAAATCCGCCGCCCAATCGTAACCGCCACCGCGGTCGTCGAGCAACGCATCTCCCACTTCCTCATGGGCCTGCTCATCATCGGCACCATGACCCGCCCGCTGCTGATTGTCCTGCACACGATGCCCGCTGCCGTCTTCGCGGGCGTCTTCTTCACCGTCGGCTGGGGCTCCATCGAGTCGAATGGCGTCCTCCAGAAGGTCATCTTCCTGGCGCGGGAGAACCGCTTCATCCAGCGCGATGAGCCGCTGTTGACCGTGCGCAGGCGCAAGATCGCGCTGTATATCGCCTGCCAGTCAGTGGGCGTTGCGGCGACGGTGGCCATCTCGCAGACGATTGCGGCGATTGGGTTCCCGATTTTGATCATTGCGTTGATTCCGTTTCGGGCGTGGGTTATGCCGAGGTGGTTCAGCGCGGAGGAGCTGGATGTCATGGATGATTTGACAGCGAATAATAGTGCGGTGCTGGCGAGTCTGGGACGTCCGCCGCGGTTTCCGGGACAGCCTGATCATGAGAGGTTTGGGCAGGAGAGGCGCTATTCGGAGCAGAGGTTTGGGCCAGCGAGGCAGAGGGCGGGTAGTATTCGTCGTTAGGTGTGGGATGTATTGCTAGAGACGATGCAAGAGAGAAATAGCGTGCGTTGGGAGGTACAAGTTAGAACACTCAAATACTAGAACGATCTGTGTGAATAAGAACAACATGAACTTTTCGCTTGAGTAACCTACATAGCATTATTCACCTCTTCAAGGATGTTTACGATATGCCAGCAGAAATCTCCCAATGGCCAGGTGACCATTTGCCAGTGCCAGTTTCGCCGCTCTTTTTCTCTTGATCTCAAACTCTTCGATATCCGGTTGATAGTTAAACAGGAAATGTAGAAAGTCAAGCCTGCCATTCTCCGCAGCGGCTTCAATGGCGTTTAATCCCTGTTCAATGGCAGGTGCCCCATTGACATCTGCCCCGGCCAGAAGCAGCATCATCGCAATGCGAACGTTGCCGTGTATCGCGGCCCCTTGCAAGGCTGTGATACCACCCAAATGTGCTGCTGGAGCATTGACATCAGCTCCCTGAGCCAATAGATACTCAGAGAGCTGCACGTAGCCCCACCTTGCAGCCATTTGGAGAGCTGTCCGGCCTCGGGCTGGACTGGGCAAGCCATTGACATCAGCCCCATGATGCACCAGGAGCTCCGTCATAACTCGATGGTTCTGTGCCACTGCTGCTTGCAGCGCAGTCATCCCTCCATTTCTGTTTGCCGGTGCATTGACGTTGGCACCCCTTTTGAGCAGTAACTGGACGACGTCGATATTGCGCGTATAAACGGCGGCCTGAAGGGCCGTGACGCTGCCATCAGAGCTGGTTTCCCAGCGTTGGTTTACGTTGGCCCCTGCAGAAAGCAGACACTGCACCACTCTAAAGTTGTGTGTCTCTGCTGCAATTTGAAGAAATGGCTTCTTCGACTGAGGGTCCCGATCATTGTTAACGGCTGCTCCTCCCTTGAGCAGCAGCTCCAGCAAAGGCACGTCGCATTTCCAGCAGCCCAGAGCTAGCCCTATAACTTGGCTCTTCGCGATGGGGTCAGATAATATGATGTCAGGTTCTTTATCGAGGAAAAGGTGGAGTAGCTCTTGATTGCATCTCTTGGCGGCGGCTTCCATCACCGAGATCCCGTCAAATCTAGCTCTGTCTGACTTGATCTTCGCGCCATGCTTCAATAGCACTTTCACCATAGACACATGGCCGTTTTCAACTGCTGCCTGCAAGGCTGTACGCCCTCCAGACCAGCAAGGGGGGTCGTTGATGCCTGCCCCGAAGTCTATCAATATCTGGGCCAGACCTTCATTGCCTAGGGAAGAAGCTTGCTGCAGAGGGGTTCGTCTTGTCTGCGCGCAAAATCCTACATTTGCGTTTGCACCCTTTTCCAGGAGCTTCCTCGTCGTTTCCAGGTCTCCTTGTCGGACTGCGGCATGAAGAGGCGCAGACTCCTTCTGGTCTCTGCGACCCTCATGATTCGCGCCTGCGCGCAGCAGTAGGTCAACTATTTCATTCCTTATCGCCGAGTCTCTGATTTGGATAGCTTCATGGAGCGCTGTGACCCCTCCAGTCTGAATTGGGTCGGTATTGACAGCTGCATCTGCATCAAGAAGAATCCTGACCCCTTCGGTGTTACCCGCGGCGACTGCTATCTGCAGGGCAGTTTTGCCTTTGCGTAAGGCCGGCGGAGCATTTACATCTGCCCCTTGTCTATGCAAGATGCTCAACACCGTCGTATCCGAATGTATAGAAGCGGCCTGAAGTGCCGTCCTTCCACGATAGACACCCGCTGGGGCATTGACATCCGCTCCCTCCCGCAGGAGAATTTCGGTAATTCTTTCATTCCCGACCATGGCAGATATCTGGAGCGCGGTGTGGCCATACTTTCCTTCCGGCCTCGCGTCGCTATGAGCTCCAGCGCTCAAAAGCATGCGAGTCATGGTAATATTCTCTTTCCGGACAACTGCTTGCAACGGTGTAAACACGGCCGGAATATTGTCAGGACCCCAGCCGTGTTTGTCAAGTTCGTGATCTAGGTGTCTAGGCGGGCATTCTCTCAAGCTGGGGTTGACAGCGGCACCTTCTTCCAACAGAAGCTGGACTACCTCCCAATTCTCGTTTTCCGCTGCTATAAGGATGGCTGGCTTGAAGGAATCAGGAAGGCCAGTACAACCCACAAGGCAGCCTTCGTCTGGCTCTTCTTTTGATTCAGAGACTGCATCGGTGTCTACATCGCTGTCCCCAAGGTAATCGCAATATCGCTTGTCGCAACGGTAACCTGAGCGACAATCAATGTCCGCGCCTGCACCGATTAAAAGCTCGACTATTTTGGCATCGGCAGAGTTACCGCATGCCATTTGCAGAGGTGTACCACTCCTGGAGGTTGTAAATGAGTTCGGGTTCGCTTTGTTATCAAGAAGGAGTTGCACCAAGTCGGGCTCCCGCTTCTGGACAGCAAGTTGCAGAGGCGTGAGTCGGGCACAGTCTTGTGGCGGATTACCATGAGCTCCAAACCGGAGCAAAAGGTCCACAATATCAAGTGCTTTGGAACTTAAGCATGCAGTGTGTAGTGGTGTCTCGCCCTCCACTGCCAGATTGGGGTCTGCACCGGCTTCCAGCAGCATCCTCGCACACTCCGTGTTATTGTTCTTGGATGCTCGGTAAAGAGCTGTGCTTCGCATGCCTGTCGGCCCACTAAGTGCATCTAGGTCCGCTCCAGCCTCGATAAGGATTCGACAGATCTCAATGTCTCCCACGGTCGCCGCACCAGCTAATAGGTTGCTCATGAATATCTCGGTTGTCGGGGTTGTTGATTTCAAGAGGGCTTTAAGTCTTGACTGAGAGCCGCTTTTCTTGATAAGAGATACCAGACTGTACGTTGACAACTGGCTCATCGTGTTATTGGATGACAGGTAGACGCAGAGACTGAGATAGTGAGACAAATTCTCCGGGGAGGGCGATCGAATTATAGCCTCGACTCCTCTTGTCAAGTCGCGGTTGACATCCCCTATGGTGATGGGCTCTAGTACTGAAATTAGATCGTCGGGATCAGGATCTCCAGACAGATAGGTCTGCCGTAAGAGTGTCCAGCGGGTGTCTTCATCAATGGCCTTGCTGATGGAATCAATGTCGTACTGGATATGTGGGCTTATATTTGTAGATGTTGGTGTCCTAGCAGACGTTACAGGCAGACGATGGTCCAAGGTAGCATTCCCGAGATGGGAAGGAGTTGCGGTGGGTTCCTCAGTCCCTCGGAAAGAAAACTGTAAACAACTCAGCTCGGGGAGCTCAAGGGGGAAGGCGAAAGGGTCCCAATGCGCGAATTGGAACATTGTTGAAGTTTCAACATTGATATCATCCACCCTCAGGCCCTGGTACCAGTCCATCGCAAGGACGCCCGCGGATTTGTCGGACACAGTACCGTCTATGTCTAATCGGGGCGTACCCACGACAACCCCGTCAGGGGTCTTGGGGTCTGAGATGATGAACAAGTGAGCATATCGACGAGGTGAGAGGGAAGGCAGGATAGCGAAAGGAGTCATATACAGGTACGCACCAGAGTCTCCCATCCACAAACACTGCGACAATAATGAAGCATGACGCGCTGTTTCCTTTCTCACCTTTGGTTCAGGGATGAGGTTGCCGTGCACCCTGACGTAGCCCGGGTCCTTTCCGTCTCGCTTTCGCTTTTCGCGACGATGCGCAACAAATTTCCAGTCTTCATCTGTTAAATTCTTTTTGAACCCCCACTTCTTGAACTGCCGGGTGTACTGAGGTGCGCTGAGACGTTTTCTCAGCCAGGACTGGGCGACTTTCGAGGGGCATTACCGACTGACCTTTTGCGGAAACTGTGCCTCCGGGCCATATGCTCTTGGATCTGCTCTAAAGTCCATCGCTGATCCAGCCACAAGGCCCTAAGCTCGTCGCGGTGACTCTGCCATTCGGTCTCTTCTTCCTTGGTTCGAGCCATGAGTTCGTTTTCCGTTGCTTGTTTGATGACTCTTTTTCTTTCGAGTTGGGCTGTCCATGGCTCGTTTATATCACTCCATCTCCAAGGGCATAGACAGCGCCATACGAAAGGGAAGAATTCTCTCGCTGAATCCTCATTGGACCATGCCAGAAGGTGCAGATTATGTTTCTGGAAGCTCACAGCCTTGTCGAATAATGGCTCGCGGCTGTGTATATTCTGGCCTCGACAAATGACAGCAGGCAACGTCGCGCCGGACTAAGCCTAATCCCTGACACGGGGCGTTATACATCCAAGTTTTTCATTATTCCTTTATTTCCTCTTTATTTCTTTTTTTCCTCCCCAGCCACACCGCCAGTTCACAGTTATGGTATCTCACATACCTCGGTAATCGCCCCTTTATTCCTCTCTTCACGGCTTTCGCGACAGACCTGGGTTGCCAAAATTATCCCTAGGCTACACAAAGGTAGCGATCCCCGGGAGAAACCTGATACGTCGCAAGCCTTTCGTAGGATTGGATACAGGCATCTTGGTGGAGAGCGGATTGCAGCTCAAAATGCCAGCACGACTGTGCTCCAAATATGATTTGCTTTGTCGGTGCTTCCAAGACCCGCGTGCACGATTCCGGATCTGGAGGAAAAGACATCATTGGGCACCGTTATAAGGTACAGGTGGAAATGTGGCCTAATCGCCAGGTCAAATCTGGAATGACCTAGCCTCCTAGGCATGCAGTACAGCCTCGACTCTGAAACGATGGACACTAAAGGTACTCCGTACGTTCGTGGACTACATACCTACTCCGAGTGGCTAGTCAGGGAGAGCTTGCTCAGCTGCTATTGGTCGAGACCAGACTTTCAGTCTACCAGTGTCTCGGGCTCCCGGGTTCAAGTCGGATTTGTCAAAATCGAGCCATCAACATTATCAACAGGAATAACGAAGATCCCCAAAGTGGATTCGATGGAAGATCAGCCAAGCACTAAGCAGGACAGCGTCATGTAGTGGCCCTGACTTGCTCATAGTCGTGTTTTAATACTCAAATACTGTAGACTAGGCTAGACCAAAGAATACAAGGCAGGGCAACAATAATAATATGTTCGAGTACTCGGGTAACTCGAGTCTTAAGACAAAGCTAGTGGTACCTTTCTTTAGAAAACTACCTAATTACCTACCTACCTACCTACCTACCTACTGAGTAGACTCCTTACTCCTTAGGCCTAACCGGAAGAGATCCAGTGGATGTCGCCAAGTGCTGCGCCCCACAAGGAACATGCATTGGTCGGCTAAGTATTCTGCTCGTGGTCACTTACTATAAGCTATATCATTGGTGCTTACCATAATCAATTATCAAGCTTCATCTCTAGATGGATTCGCATACACAGTCTACAATTCTTCATGTCACTTCCTATGGAGGGAAAAGAGGATAAAAGGCTCTTCCATCTCAGCATGGCTTTCTTTCTGGACACAGTCGACAACTCCATTGCCTGTCTGTCTTGTGTGAATAGACCAAAGAATGGGCTGGTCAGTGGAGGCTATTATTGGACTTGTCACTTTACTCGTTACTGGCCCTCCATCCCTTCTTCTACTCTGGAACCATTTCAAAAACCGCAATAGACAGATTATAAGAGGTGAGTGCTTTATTTACCTACTACAAGAAGCAAATATAAAGAAACAACGTTAACGTAGATCCTCATCTAGGCCGACCACGGTCTCGAGCCATGCTCCCATGGGCGTTGACACGAATGGATACCGAGCATGACCAGCGAACTCTCGAGGATGGTCTGGGTACCTACCGTGTCCCTGCAGGTCAGTGCTGTGATCTTACGAAGCTATATTGAGCTTTGGTACCGCCTGTTCTTGCGGCTAATGATCTTCAATCTTGAGCTGCGCAGAGATATCTATCCGTCAAACCATTGCAGAGGTCCAGGTGTCGTATAGATAGGCTTGATGAATAGTTACACTGAGCTGGTGCAAGCGAGAATGGGTATATATAATGGATAGACACCGTCAAAGTCGGATGATGGCATTCACCGTCCTTTATCAAAAGCTATAGAATATCAAGAGCGTGTATATACCTTAGCAATCTGTATACCTGAGTGGCATTCCTTTCTCCTACGTGCTTATTCCAGCATTTCATGCAAGGAGGACCCACCGAAAATTCCACGTACCCCAGGGTCCGTACCCCTGCAGTGTCCAATCGATCAAAGGGATGGACGCCGTTTTACTCGTCCTGGTGGAGGTAGAGTGGGATCAGGAATTTGATGAGACGGAGGTAGTTGCGTGGATGCGTCTGGCGGTCTACTGGAGCGAGACACACGAACCGCTTGTCGGGTTGAGGATCCTGTGCAAGCGCACTAGCTGGGTAGTCTAATATAAAGATAGCGATGGTGTGCGAAGCTGGTAGGACTGCGATGTGTTAATTCCGTTCAGGTGCTGACTGGCAGTTTACACACTGACTTCTCGAAAGTCCTGGCTGGCTGCTGCCCATTTCTCTACCAGAAGGCGTCGTTGACGTACTTCATCCTCAACGTTCGATGCAGGGCGCCATTCTTCCTAGACGGAATGTGTATATGTGAGTTGATATTAAATGGATAGATGGCTTGCATGCATACTCTTACGAATTGCAGCCACCCCTTGGTCTCTTCTTGAAGGTCTGACGGGCATAACTTGGTTGGATGAAGATGGAAGTCGCTGGGATCCCGCCAGGCCAATATGATTGCCATGTCGGATGCGACATTTGGGAGCTTGTGAGAAAGGAATTGATTATTTCTACGGAGTAGAACCCGAGACTGTTTGAAAAGGAAAAGAGAGGGAAGTCCGTAAGTTAACTAGTCCCGGACGTTGAGGGCCAAAACTAGGGCTAGATACAGTCCCACTTTAGGTCCGACGGTGCTAACATGTTGAGAGCAGGAGGTAATTTCTGGATCCGCCTGTGCAGTAATGATATTTATGAAGCTTTATCAAGGTCATCAGGATGAATTGCTTCAAGGTCAGCAGACAAGCTAACAGCGTCACCTCTGCCGAAGTCACCCAGGGAAACGCTAAGGATTGTGTTACTGCAGCTTAGGAAGTGACCTGATAGCAAGTAGCATGCTAGGGACAAGTCAAGAGCTTACAACTTCTATCATATTATGAATACTATCAAAGTATATACCTCGAACAATCACATCAAGTCTCAAAATCCTCCCGGGTGATTCCACTCTGATCGCACATACTGCGGAAGATGCCGCCCGGCTTCTCCCACAGCGCCAGAGGGGTGTCGAATTCAGCGATCTGCCCTTGGTCCATCACACAGATGCGATCATAATTGATGATTGTCCGTAGACGATGAGCAATACAAAGCAGCGTCTTGCCTTGAAATCCTTGCGCCATCGTCTCCTGGACTTTCTGGTCCGTCTCAAAGTCCACGGACGAGGTTGCCTCGTCACAAATGATAATGCGGGCATCGCGAACGAGAGCACGCGCCAAAGCCATCAGCTGCCGTTGGCCGAGTGAGAAGTTGTGTCCCTCCTCTTCGACGATGGTATCAAGGTGCAGTCGCTGCACAGTCTGCTGCTTTTCGTTCATCGATGATGGCGTAATTGTGCCCTCCTGGGACTCGTCCTCTGGCAGCTCCTGGCCGACGAGATGTGCCATGCGTAACGCTGCCCATAATTCCAGATCCGTATGCTCATTGAAAGGATCCAGGTTTGAGCGGATCGTGCCGCGGAAGAGCGTCGGATCCTGCGGGATGATAGCAAGACGAGTGCGAAGATCATGCAGCCCAACTGTCGCAATATCAATGTCATCGATCTTGATACTTCCTCCGGAAAGCTCGGTGAGACGAAATAGCGCGGCCATGATGCTGGATTTGCCGGCACCTGTTCGCCCAACAATGCCAATACGCTCCCCGCCTCGAATGTCCATCGTGAGCCCCTTGAGCACCAGAGGCAGGCCGTCACGGTACCGCATTTGCACATTCGAGAACGTAATTCTTCCCTTTTCGGGCCAGCTCGGTGGTACCTCGGCCAACTGAAGGGGCGCTTCCTCGTCCAAGCTGGTGCCATAGTAATGGATCCGTTCAGCAGCATTCATATTGTTCCCAACTTCAGCAAACTGTCGAATGGTGAACTGCAAACTCAGAGTGATATTCAAAACGTATGACAGTACCAAACCGGAGATACTTGGCCCGACGTTGAAACGAGAGGTGACGACCAGAATCCCCACCACCAGGATCATTAGACTGCCGATAGCGTCAAGGCGAATCGAGAGCCATCTCTGGTTGGAGAAAGTCAGGAAATATGCACCATTCATTGAGTCGATGCTTTCATGCAGGTTCCGCTGAAAGTACCCTTCCATTTTATACGCTTGGATGCTTGCGATACCGGTGATGGCCTCGCCAAAACGTGAAAACACCGTCGAGCGAAGCACTGAATCATGCCGTTTCAGATTCCGCGCAGAAGCTCTATAGTAGGTCGCTGCGAGTAAGAACAAGACGAAGAGGGGCCCTAATGCAATAGCAAACTGGCCATGATGGTTAGCAACTTCTTTTCACGCACCTCACCCTCTGGTACTCACATAATGATAAAATGCGATAATCAACCCCATCGTGGCAAGGATCTGAGTGAACGTGAAGGCAAACATGCGAATAGATTCGCCAAGCTCACTGTCCATCACCTGGACATCCCTAGAAAACCGGTTTGTGATCCGTCCTAACGGGGTTGTGTCAAAGAAGGACATCGGGGCCCGCAGGGCTCGGTATATTGCGCGCTGCAGCATTGTCTTGCTAGAATGCGCTGCGGAAATGGTCACATGTAGTGCGAAGCCGTACATGGCCAAAGCCTGTGCTGCACAGATTCCCGCATATATTCCCAAATACTGGCCAAGGGTCAGGTTTTTAAACTTGTCGGACGTCCAATAAGAGACCCACAGGCCTGTCATAATTAGGCCGCCGTTGAGACAGGCCAGCAGCACGAGAAAAGCAATGAAGTTGAGGAAGAAAGATCCAGAGGCGGTGATATAAGCTTTCCAAACAGCCCACCCAACTGACCCGGTCGCTACCTCTTCCTTTGACATCAAAGCAGCTGCAGGTTTAGCCTTGTCAATTTGGTCTTTCGCCGGTTCGGCTTTGCCCGAATTTTGGTCGACATCATCATCCGATTGCTTTTCCTGTTGCGAAGTGCTTGACATCAATTCCCTAAAGTGTTCATTTGTTCGCACAAGATCGTCAAAGGTACCAATAGCGTCGATGGAGCCTTCCTTCATCACAATAATTCGATCACACCGGCTAAGAACATGAAGCTGATGGGTTGCCAAGACACGACACTTATCCTTGAGAAGACCGCAGATTGCTTTGTCCATGATATGACGTCCAACATGGGCATCAACTGCTGAAAGCGGGTCATCCATGAGAACGATATCCGCCTTGGAGTAGACGGCTCTGGCGATATTGATCCGCTGCTTCTGGCCTCCAGAGACCGTGATGCCTCGTTCCCCAATCTCCGTCTGATCCCCGTTCGGGAAAATATCCAGATCGGGTCGTAGAGCGCATGCGTCAATCACGCGGTCGTAGAATTCTTCGTCGTAATCACTTCCAAAGAGGATATTCTCTCGCACTGACACATTCTGGATCCAGGCGTACTGCGGGCAGAATGATCGAGTCGCACCCATTCGGATTTTACCCTCCGTCAAGCGCATGTCACCCGCCAGAGCCCCAAGCAACGAACTCTTGCCACTCCCTACTGTTCCTATCACAGCAAGCAGTTCACTGCGCCCCGCCTCGAAGTTGATATCGGTGAGTCTGAACGGCGCGTGCTCAGTTGTGTCACTGTTGTCATCGGGCGGGCTGCTGGGCGTTGCGACTTTCGGCGAGACCTGGCTAGGTTTCGGCTTCTCTTCCTTCTTCTTCTTCTCCTCTCCCTTGTCGCTCTGGACTTGTTCCCAGGTGAATGATGCATGCTCGACCTCAATAGCCTTATCCATGGTTGTGTCCCATTCGACCGGGTCAGACTTTTCCTCGGCCTGAAGGAACTCCTGGATTCGATTCATAGCAGTCCAGGCATCAGTCATCTGCGTGATAGTCAGGTTGAGCATGATGAGCGGCATTCGAAGCACATTGAACAATGCCAAGGACGCAAAAATGCGGTCTGGGGACATGCCATGACCCGACAGAGCGTATGTGACAAAAGACAGCAGCGATGCGAATGTTGGTAAAGAGACCATGCACACTACAACAGCGTGTCGGACAAATAACAGTCTTTTGATGGACCCAATCTCGCGGTTGCGAACGGCCTCGAGTCGCTTTAGGAAGCTGCTTTCCCAGCCAAAGAACTTCACGAACCTCACACTATACAATATTTCTCGGGTCAAAGTGACTCGCTGATCGGTGATTTTATTGATGGCCCTTCGAAAGTGCACCAGGAGGCGCATTCCCCATGCCAGAGCAAAGACTCCGACGACCAGGAGGGCGTACCCGGCAAGTGCACTGTACCCAATGTTGACAATCAGTATGATCAGAGCGACGATAAGACCGATGGGTGAAACCCAAATCATATGAAGCATGCCGCAAGCTGTATCGATACGATCCACATCCACGCCCAATAACGTCGTGATACGTCCATTACTCCAGCCGGCAGTCTCTTTCGCCGCATCGTTTGCTGCTGCTTTAGATGGACTTCCTTCGGTGGGTTTTTGTCCTGTGTCATTGATGGGCTTCCCGCCAGCTCTCGCACGATTCGACAACCTCATCGCTTTGGCGAAGATTTGAGATGTAAGGCCCGCTTTGGCCATTCCTCCGACAACCATCCCTCGATATAACGCCTGGTTCATAGTCAAACTCTGCAGCACCTGCATGGCATAAAGGCCAAAGGCGTAACCCAAGCCCGGTCCAATGTGTGGGCCAGGTATTTTGCGAATATGGGCCGCGTACGCTTCGGTCGAGAAAGTGATCAGGTGCCTGACCACATATGGCGATAGGATCATGCACATCATGCCAACAAGCTGGCATAAACCACCAACTACAAGGTCATGTCTTAGGGTGTCGATAAGAGCCCGCGCCAGAGGTCTCTTGCTCCCTTGCTCGATTCGTTTCCTAAAAGCCACAGCAAGCTTGTCCGACAAGGTGTCGACTGCTCTGTCCGGGTTGACGGTCCAAATATCCTTGGGTTCCAATGGTCGGAGATAACCCACCTATTCGATTCTGTAAACATGCTGACTTTCTGGGTTTCGAGGTTTCCAGACTAACCTTCATAAAGGGGGTCATCCACTCAAAGAAGATGCGACTAAGGATATTTGCCCCATATTCCCGAGTCACTTGTCTCTCACTGGGAACAGGAGGTACCTTTTGCAGTCGCAAAGGGTTCAGCTTGCGCCATTTGGACAGCTGTGGTTGGGGAGTAACTTGGTCTTTCGTTCCCTCTGCCTGATTTTGTTCAAGCGGTAATTTCGCCTGAGGTACTACCACCTCCAATGGAGGTTGGGGAGTCTTGCTCATCTCGATGTGGTTTTACGAGATTGTGGATGAATCAGCCTGAGATAACATTAAGTTTCAGACACCATCATGTATCGAGAGCCCGCGTGGTGTGCGTGTAGAGCGTCCCCGGCGTAGGTGATAAGAAGCACCAAGCTTCGTATTCTCTCTGCTACCCAATGCTCTGCGAAGTTCCTCGAATTAGCGAGCCATTACAACTGTGTTCTGTACGAACATGATGCCGCTGCCACCACGTTACGGTGTCGTACGAATGCAGGGTTGACAGACGATTACACTGGAATTAGAACACGAAAATAATACTTACTCTCTTTACCAAACGAACCTCAGTGCCATTGGCTGAGCCGGCTGATCAAGCTTCTCAGGTCGACTCCGTGGCTGATCACTGGTCCCAGATAAACCGTAACTAAGAATTGGCGCAATTCTGGCGATTGCATGCCTTGTTCATGTGTATGGAGTCAATCGACGGCTTGAAAACACTGTCTGGCATGAATCTTGCCTCGGTTCAGTAACCGCCCACGAGTTATCATAAAACGGAAATGCATTGGAGCAGTAGGGATACAGACCTGAAAGACAATACCCAACCAACCGGGTAGTAAGTATTCACCAGAAATATGGTTGCACGGTGCACGAGTCAGTTGAAGAATTAAACGATGAATTGCCGAGGACTGCGATAATTTGACCTGCTCAATACAACAAATTCATCAGTCATTGCGGAACTATGGATGAAAGAGAGGCCAGCAGTTGTACAATCGACTGGTATTGAGAATGAGAGAGAGTATGCAAGGGATGTGGCGATCAATCCAGATAAGACTCACCGGATGTGATTTGTATTTTCCCTTGTTCACTCCGGGTTGTCTGAGTCAGATCACTGCGCAGTCATGGCCGGGGAATAACGCATTTAGTAGTCAAAAAACAGCGTGATAATAACCTGGCAAGCCATACCCGACAAGTCTTAACCTGTTATATTTAAGGGAGATAACCATTGTTAAATCCGGAGGTGATAAATTTCTTCTACATGATTCCACCTCTTGGTCGTTAAGCGACAGCCACAGGTCGTTTCTTGGAATGCCGTGTCTGATGCGGGGAGGAAGCTTGTTGTTCCCGTCGCCGACTTGCCGCATATCCGTAATCGAGACCTACTCACATAACACTAATGAATCGGTCAATCGGGCTCCGACAAGGGGCTAAGCTTTTCCAGGTTAGGATGATCTAAGTTCTTCCTCACAACCTCTCAAAAAGGGAATAGCAAGGGGGACAAAATGTGAGTTGAGAAAGGAGAGGAGGAAGAGAGCATGTAGACAAGAAGGCAGACATGTGGTCTATCTCATGGAATTTGCCCTACGTCGTACTTAGCTTATTGTTTGCTTCTTTGAAGCGAAACTTGAGAAGTACATGAAAGACGCTAAAATTGATTGCATTTTAAATAAAACTGAGCCGTATTATCAAACATAGACTAGTTCATTCATAACTGGCATCAACTTGTTGTCCCATCCTTATGGGAAATAAGCAAAGCATCGCGGGTCGAATGAGTACTTTCGTCGCCTTGTGCGAGACAGTATCTCCATTCTCCACTTCCAGCGGCCAGCAGACGTTACCGTCTCTGGTCGGGTTGCGTTCACGCTTTGGGATCGTGGTCGATCGCTTAATGCGTTGCGTGGTGGGTGTTCCTTAGTTCTGAGGAACTCTAAAGACTTTGCCAGACTCTCCTTAATTGTCAAGGTTAATCTTGACATTCTTCTCTGGGCCTGGGATGATCTTGTCCTCTGCCTCACCCTTGAGGTTTGGAAGCTCAGAAACAGCCTGTGCGATGATCTCCAGTGCCTTCTGGATCTCTTCTTCAGTGATCACGAGCGGAGGAGCAAGGCGAATGATGTTCTGATGGGTGGGCTTGGCCAACAAGCCCTTCTCCTTCATCAGCATACAGAGATCCCAAGCAGTGTGTCCATTGGTCTTGGACTCGTCAATGACGATCGCATTGAGTAATCCCTTGCCACGAACGGTCTGGATAACTGGGCTCTGGATAGCCTCCAGACCCTTGCGGAGGACGTGACCGAGTTTCTCAGCTCTGTCAACCATGTGTTCCTCCTGAACGACCTCCAAGGCTCGGATAGCCACTGCACAGCCTAGAGGGTTACCGCCGTAGGTGGAACCGTGGGTACCAGGCTCAATGGTGAGCATGACGTCTTTGCGACCCAAGACACAAGACACAGGGTACATGCCGCCGGAGATGGCCTTGCCCAGCAGAACCAGGTCGGGCTTAATTCCGCTCCACTCATGACAGAGCAGTTTGCCTGTACGGGCGATACCCGTCTGAATCTCATCGCAGATGAGGAGGACATTGTGCTTATCACACAGAGCTCTCGCCTCCCGCAGATAGTCATCGTCGGGAACGACAATGCCTGCTTCGCCCTGAATAGGCTCTACCAGGAAGGCGGCAAGGTTGGGTCCCGCGTTCTCAAAGGCCTCCCGCAAGGCTTCCTTGTCATTGTACTTGAGGGGCTTATTTGTCCCAGGGATTGTGCATCCGATACCTGGCAGGTAGGGACCGTAGTTTTCACGCGACTCAGGATCGCAAGACAGAGAGATGGCAGCGAACTAGATTAAAAAGACTCGGTCAATCTCTAATGATCGAGTTAATTGATTCTCGTGCACTTACAGTACGTCCGTGAAAGTTATTCTCCGCGCTCAGAACAACGGCTTGGTTCTCCGGAATGCCCTTAACCTTGTAGCCCCACTTACGAGCAATCTTGATAGCCGTTTCCACGGCTTCCGCTCCTGTGTTCATGGGCAGAACCATGTCGAAACCAAAGTACTTGGTGACGAATTCGGCAAAACGGGGAAATACGTCATTGTAGAAGGCACGGGAACTCAAGGTTAACCGTGAGGCTTGCTCGACTAGTGCAGCAACCAACTTGGGATGGCAATGGCCTTGGTTGACGGCAGAGTACGCCGACAGGAAGTCAAGGTAGTGACGGCCCTCAGGATCCCAAACGGAGGTGCCCTGAGCACGAGCGAAGACAACGGGGAGGGGGTGGTAGTTGTGGGCTGCGAACTCCTTCTCCGCCTGAATGGCCTCCTTGGTGGAGGACGCATGGTAAGAACTGGTTCCGTTGGCAGACATGCTGGCGGAAAGAAGAGACAAGGTGATCTTGAAAGAGATAGTATTATTTATCAAGGGTAATATGGAAGTAGGAAGATTCGAAGGAAGATGTGAGAAGCGTAACAGAGGAAGATAAAGTGGGGAGGAAATGTCCGCAAACAGTCCGAGACGAGCAAGTCACCGTCCTTTAATAGCACGAGGATGGGAAACACCTGTCAGAATTGAGCACTGTAGGAAAAGAAGGGAAAACGGCAGAAGAGCAAATTGGTAGAAATTACCATTCCAATCCGTAGCCCTTTGAGACCCGCTGGTGTCACTTTTGAGGCGATAGACATGGGCTCCGAAGAAGGACTAGACCCCTAAGTGCAGGTTTACCCGCTGCATATCGCTAAGTGCAGGTCTACGCGCTATCCCCAGCGACCATGATGTCGGCGATCCACCTTTCCTGCAGTGATCCAGTCAGACTGCATTCCACCCGACTTTATTCCTTCTTCGCCTGGCCGATCTGGGGCTTCCGGTTCGTCAACCTTTTGTCCATAGTCATCCATTTGTCGACTGTCGTCCGGTCCATTACTCATCGTTTCCGCGCCTCCACTGCATGACCGGGGCGGATCCCATCGCTTTTTGCCGGCCCGGACACTTTGTCCTCTTGGCCTCTCTATTAGGTAGTTTATTGATTTTGTTTGCTCTCGCTGGCATCGGAGTATATCGCGGGGATAGATACGCCCTGCGACGTTTGCCTGCGACAATGTCCTCGTCGCGTCGAAGGAAGTCCGTCACGTCGTCCTCCTCGTCGTCTCCGTCCTTACACTCCCCATCACCGCCGACTTCGCGCCTGAGGCCGCGGTCTCCGTCAAGAAACACCAAAACATCACCGTCATCAACAACGCCCTTGTCAACCAATATCCTTCTGTTTTTAATCTCTTTTCGTCTGGTCAACGCATTTACTGTTCGCACCTTTTTCCAGCCCGATGAATTTTTTCAATCACTTGAGCCTGCCTGGCAAATCGCATTTGGAGAAAATCAGGGGGCATGGATAACCTGGGTTAGTGGAGTCGAATCCCCCAACATTATCCTGTGCTGCCTTGCGTCGCATTCGATTTTGTTCCAACCAGTCACATCATTTCAGTTACTAAAATCTGACACTGGATGTCACCAATATAGGAATGGAGGCATCAACTGAGATCGTCTATCCATCCTCTCCTCTTCGCCGCCGTCTACTCCGCCGCCGATGTCGTCGCCCAGCTTCTCCGCCTCTCCTCCGCATCGCGTGCGGATCTCCTCGTCGCCGCTCCAAAAACTGCGCAGGCGATAATCGCGGGCCTCGGGGACTTTTATACTTGGAAGTTGGCTCGCTATGTCTATGGCGCTCAAAGTTACGACACCTGGGCTACTGTATGTTCTGTTATTGTTCGCTTAATAATCGATATGAGGACCGAGGTTGACTATCGAAGCTTGCCTTGACTGTTGTTAGCCCATGGCAATGGTTTTGTTCCACCAGGACATTGTCTAATTGCCTTGAAACAACAATTACCATTGTCGCTCTCTACTTGTGGCCTTGGAGTTGGTCGTTTGTGACACCTGGTCACAAGAAGGCTACTCGCGCGGCCAGCAGGGAGCGTGCTCAGAGGGGTCAGGAGGTGTCGGACTCGCTGCAGAGGTACGCTGGACGTCTATTCGGATCCATATATATCTCACACTGCGCCGCAGGCTACGTCAGTGTCTGTCCCTAGCGGCTGTCGCCTGTATTCTCCGACCGACAAACATCCTCATCTGGATGAGTTTGGCCAGTGTCGCATGGTTTCGGACTTCTTGGGACGGGAGGAGGATTCTCGTGCGCGAAGTATTACTTTGCGGGTGAGTTGATGTTGCCAGGCACGTTGCGAAATGATAGCTGATAAGCTCATAGCTGTACCGTTCTGGGTTTATCGTCCGTGGTGGATCGGCTCTTCTACGGAAGCTGGACGTTTCCTCCTTTGAGATTCCTATATTTCAACATTGCTCAGTCTCTAGCGGTCTTCTACGGGAGAAATGACTGGCATTATTATATCTCGCAGGGGTTTCCCCTACTACTTACCACCGCACTGCCTTTCGCTCTCGTTGGCCTGTACCGCGCTCTGACCCAGGTTCGGACGTCCGGATTGGGGCAGTCGCAGTCTCCCGTGCAAGCTCAGCTTGCGCTGATATGTGTGGTCATGCCTTTCGTCCTATCCCTGGTCTCTCACAAGGAAGTGCGGTTCATCTATCCCCTTCTACCATCTCTCCACATCCTAAGTGCACCACCTCTTGTGGACTACTTCCTGCCCGCGATCCTCCGCTCGTCCCGCTCATATATGCCCAAGAGGCTTACGCTCATCTTCCTACTACTGGTCAATATTGGTATTGCCCTCTACACGACCATCTACCACGCATCCGGACCGTCCAACGTGCTCTCATACCTCCGGCAACAGCACGAGCTACATGCTCCGGCCGCTCAAGCTCCTCTAAACCTCAGCGCCTCAGTCAAAGACCCCTCTCAGCGGGGAATCACAGCCGGCTTCCTCATGCCCTGCCACAGCACCCCCTGGCGCTCCCACCTCGTCTACCCCACAATCCACGCCTGGGCTCTAACCTGCGAGCCCCCCGTTGACCAAACCGCCGCCCAAAAAGCTACCTATATGGACGAAGCGGATCAATTCTACGCCAACCCCGCCCAGTTCCTCCGCGATCACATGGCCGGCGGCCTCCGCCACATCTCTCGGAAACCATCCTACCTCTCCGCGCAACCACACCCCCAGTCGCCGAATACAAACACCAACCATTCCATCCACGAATGGCCCGACTACCTCATCTTCTTCGCACAGCTCGAGCCGACCCTCCAGTCCCTCCTCCGCGCCAGCTCCTACGCCGAATGCTACCGCTCCTTCAACACAGCTTGGCATGACGACCGGCGCCGCAAAGGCGACATCGTGGTCTGGTGCCTTGACCCCGCCGAACAACAGGCCTGGCGGTCCGCCACCCGGCAACGCGACCTCGAGAACCGCGATAGACAATTCGACCGGATCATCGAGAGTTTCCGGAAAGAGGCGACCGGGAAGCGCGAGGGCAAGCTCTCTTCGTTCCGTCGGTGGATCTCGTCTTCTTCCTCTGTCGCCCCGTCGTCCTCGCTGTCTCTGTCGTGGCCGTCGTCGTGGCGCTGGCCGTGGAGCCAGCGGAAGCGGGCATCCTGGTTAGGTGTACAGATCCCGCAGTGGACAAGGACACAATCGTCATGGACGGCTTGGCCAGGGGACTGGTTCAGGGACTGGAGGCGGAAGAAGAAGACTAAGACACTCCTTGAGCGGGATCTGTGGTTGTAAGAGTTGTTTTTTCTTGCAAATTGGTCAACTTGTTGGAAATACGCGCATGTGATACCTCCTTGATTTCTGGATCTTACGTGTTCTCCCTGCAATTTCAATGGATCATAGCTAAACTTGGATCGATTCTATAGCAATTGTCCCCTTATTGATGACTTCGTCTTTGACAGACGCTATCCATTTTGTCCCTGAATTGTACTATATACCCTAGCTGATATGCCCAGCTGTACCGTAGCATACACCGAGCGCAACAAGGCTCGCAATCTTCATTCTAATGCCAAAATCACAAACGCCAGCCAATGATGCAACCAATTGTTCACCATTACGTTCGCCAAGATCAGATACAGTAGATGAATATACACAGAAGAAAATATTTTATGTCTTCAGAGAAGACGGCTGATGGGGAAACGGCTACCGGTAACGGGCGCTCAGATTGGCAAAGGCGTCGGGGCTGTGCCGTCCGCTCTGGAAGCCATTGATATCTACACTCTGCTGGCTCATGTGGGTTCTTGGGAAATTGCCATTCAGCTGAGAAGCTTTTGGTGTCAGGTCGATCCCAGCACCGGGGGTGCCTTGCCCTCCCATGAAAGGATTGCGTGATCCGGCTAACTGGGGAGCAGCGGAGGCTTGTGGGCCGTTGCTCTGGTGCTCGTTGATACTTGGCATTGGCTGGTTTTGGGGTGCTTGGTTCAGCGACATTCCCATCGGAGCTTGCATTTGAGAGGGCTGCTGCATCCCGGATGCTTGTGCGGAGGATGTATTGTACAGAGAAAGGATGCTCCCCTTGTCCACGCGGCCGGTGGGCTGAGGAGCCATGTACTGAGTAGGCTGCTGCAGCCCGGCCTGTAGTTGTGACTGATACTGGGATTGATAGACCGCATTCTGTGGTGCATTTGGGGCTGCCATCGACTGGAATGGATTCTGGGAGGCAAAGCCCTGCCCGTGCAAATGTGGTTGATTCTGCATGAATTGCTGTTGCTGCGGTTGTTGTTGTTGCTGTTGGTAAGAACCTTGGCTAAAGGGCGATGTGGAGGACAATGCTGGCATGGTGTTCGCATGCTGGGGCGGATTAGGCTGTGCACCTCCAGAGACTGTTTGGGCTTGCGACTGCATTGAGGTAGCCGCCGCTCCGAACTGGCTGAAAAAGGGGTTTGTCTGAACAGCGCCAGGGCTCTGGGTGAGTGGTGTGCTAGTGAAGGGCGCTTGCGGCAGGGCTCCCGACTGGAAAAATGGGTTTTGGCTTCCATCGAAGGCTTGTGGGGATGAGATGTACGAGCCTTGTGATTGGGTCGAGGTGACAGGCGGCGTGAGAGGGTGCTGGTAAAGGGGCTGAGGAAGCGAAGCTTGACGTCCAGGATATCCTCCGGTTTGATGCGGGAATAACGGCTGCGAAACTTGTAAATGCTGGAAAGACGACTCGAAAGACTGTACAGGAGCAGGCGTAGGTGCGAGTTGCTGTTGTGCTTGTGGCGGTTGCATATCGAACGGATTGTACGCGCTGCTCGTCTGGGGAGTCGGTTTGGAGTCGAGCTGGTCGAACGGATTGGCGGAACTGTCCCCTCTAGTCGAATTGTCTGTGGAAATGCCAGCTGCTGGAGGTCGTCCCAGCGATGCAGGCCCTTCCCCCAATCTTTGCAAAGTCTCGATGGTCATCTTCAAGTTACCGTCAAGCCCTTTCAGGGCCGCTGCGTTTCGGCGCTCGTTGGTGAAGCCCATCTCTCTCAGCTGGGCCAGCTTCGACTCAAAGGATGCATCACTTGTATCACGGACGGAAAGTCCAAACCCTTGAGAGCCGGAAGTTGAGACGCTTCGCGGTGGAGGAGAATCATGTCTTTCGGATCGAGGTGAGGTCGCAAAGGGTCTGTTATGAGACCGCTGGAGATTGGAGGTGGAGGAAGCGGACCTCAACCCAGGACCCGGAAACCGGCCAGACTTTGGAGGTAGTGGAGGAGGCGAGCCCTCCGGCGACATGTCGTAACTGGAATCCTGACGACTTGGGGGTTTTGGTTTTCCATCCTCCAGAGAACGATACTGGTATTTCTGCCGGATGTACCGCTCCATGCTCGAATCGGCCTCGTCGATATCTTTGGGGACCGGAGGTTTGACGTTCTTGGGATTGAAGATCTTGTTCATGAGGGTATTCCCGTGTGATTTCATGTTCTGTGTCGCATAGACAATCAGCTCACGCGTCCTCGAGGGGTTGACTTGGCCCGTTCACTCACGTCAACCTGTTCGGCCGTCCAAGTGTCCATGGTCAAGGACTTGACCTTGGAAATGTGCGTGCCCAGCTTACGATGCAGAGCTGCACACCGCATGCATAAGAAAATTCCCATCTGTATTCCATCGGATCAGTTATCGTATCGTAGCGGTAAGTCGTGTGCAACCGAGTGGTATACGTACGTTCCAGCTGGCCCATCCTGTGTGCAAGTGGCTTGTCAGCGATTGGCCTGCAATTATATACAGGTCTCCAAGAGCATACCTGGGTTAAAGGCTCCACAGTCCGCACATCGATCATTGCCCGGCACTGAGCGGACGAGATCCTGCAAGGCCTTCTCATTTCGCTGCTGCTGCCGCTTACTGACAATGCTGGGCATCTTGGTAAAATCCGGAGAGACCACCTGGCAGTCTCTTTGTTGATGAAGCAACGAACTGAAGCCGAGGGTATCAAACGTCCAAAGAAAAGATGAACTGGGTTGGGAAGAGAAGCTATTCACGAACGATGGAGAAAAAGTGGCAGAAGCCGGGCCGATCTTCCGTATGCGGGAGATAGTGGGATCTTAAATAAGAAGGCAAATCATATTTACACGATATGAATGCAAAGCTCAACGCAATGGCTTCTAAGAATACAAGCAAAGGGAAGGCCGAGATCGTAAGAAGAGATGTTAAGAAGGAGGGGGGAATGAATCGCGGGAGTTCGATAATCCAGGAGAAGTACGAGAGAAAGCGAAGTGGTCAGGGATGATAAGATGGCGGTGGTGTGGGGAAGGCAGACGACCGTCACCGCGTCGATTTCTCTGCGCTCGGTGTGTTAGATAGACATCCCTTGGATCTTATGGATTTGATATCAATATACCGATGTTTTTGGATCTATAATTAGAGGGACAATGGCATTTTTACCGTTGATTGTTGGGCAGAATCTAGAGTAAACTGTCTCGTGGAGGACTACACATTCCAGCCTTTGGTATGGATCCCCTAGTCAAGGCCGCGCCAGGGGCAACCGACAGGAACCAAGTTTCGAGCCTTGACTATTTGGCTGCCAAGCACAGAAAACGTCTGTGACAGTCTCTTGATTTTCTCAATTCCCTCCAATTACTGTTTGAGCCCAATGTCCACTGGTGTATGGCTGTCAGACAGCCGCAACAGCCATGGAGAGATGCCAAATGCCTCTGGCCGGTGGTCTCAAGCCAAGCTGGATCTTCATGAAGCTTTTGCGAAAAAACTCCAAAGTAACCATCAACATGAATCATCTTGATGCACTACACAGGAAAATCTACACTTCGCACTACAAATATATCATGCCATGATGGTTATGATAGAATGTATGAGCAGCAGGTGACTCACCCCACCATCGCACTCAGAGTCTCGGAAGAAACTCCAGCACGGTAGAGGAGCCTTATTATGCCCCGAAATATTTATTCTAGTACGCCAATATGACCTACCAACCTGTAGGAAAGAGTAGGATTTGGAGGTTGATTATGCGTTCGTAGTTTATGAAAAGTGTAATGAGGGAAAAAGAAGAAAAGAGAGAAAATTGTTGTGTGGATGATGGATATAAAGGGAATGCTGGAAGTGCGTCACGTGGTATGTGGACCTAGCACTAGGAGGTGCTAAGTCAGGTGACCCCCGTTGTCGAAGTTTTCTTTTCTTTCGCCAAAGACGCTCTTTCTCCTTCTCTTCAACAAAACACTCGTCAAGGGACAATTCGCACACCGCGAACTGTATGCTCATTGATGTATGAGCTGTTACCTGTAGTCTCGATTCAAGACTCGATGTTGTCTTCTCTATACTCTGTACCAATGTTGTTATAACCACACAGCACGCGTCTAGTCTCTCAGTGGCCAAGTCGTATGCTTTTTATTTTGTTCGTTCAGTGGAAGATCAAAACCAAACAGTTTTTAGCAGAGCTGCGTCTACTCCACCCTGGTGTTCGTCTTTCTCGAACGGCAGGACTATTTTTACGACGGACATCTTACCTTTGTTATATCATGACGAGAGTATATCAATGCGAACCATATTGTTCCCTAGATGAATGTCCTGATATGGAGGTATATTGAGTCTCCAAGCAGAAACTCTAGGCTTTCTGCTCATGAAGACAGCAATTCAATGTAATAGCTTATCTAGTTCCGGTTGCATTGCTCTATAGGAGGTTTTGGCGACGTAAGATGTGCTGAGAATAGCGCAATCGAGGGCTAAATGATTTCCAAACCATCAGTCCGTTGCCTTATCAACTGGTTTCTACTACTCCGTATGGTCTCTAGTATCATTCTGGTCTATCTTGACCGACTTCTGTCTAGACTAAGATTCTCGATAATCGGCACACCCAATTCGATGTTATGAATTTTTGTGACCTGTTCAATCAGCTTGAGTTGATGATAAATCGCAGCCAGTCTCGAACTCAGGATGAGTGAGATTATTGAGGAACCATTGCAGGGACACACCAATGAAGAATGAGCCTGAGAGGGAGAGTGGAGATCGGAATCTGCCGCGGTAACTGAGACTTCTGCCAAAGAGCGTGTTCCTGTTAATAATAATGTGATGGAGGACGGGTGCTGATCCGCCCCGACGAGCCATCTTCGGCTATCATCGTTGCTAGTACAACGACGATAATAATAACGGAGTCAATCTTTGTTCTGACAGAAAGACAATGGTATCAACGCAAGCAACAGTAGATCTCTCGAGAATGAATGAATCAGTAGTATCTCAGGCGCAGGAGGCAAATGAGAATTGGGAGCCATGGATCGGCTATTGCCGCGGCCATTCAGGTCCGATATCCCCTCTTATGCTCGGTCTATCTATCTGCCTTGTGCCAAAGAAAACCAGAACCTCTGGGAAAATGCGGAGAGAATATCTGCTGAGTCAAAAGAATCGGGTCCAGAGCTCACAAATCTGTACATTGTGATTGGTGCTTACGGCTCCTCCTGGGGCTTCGATGGGCTTCGGCGTTTCTGTAATCTAGGCAGGAGGAGCGGCAGTAGAAGGATGAGGGGATATCTCTTATGCAATGGGAAGAGCTGCACTTTATTATTAGCAGTTATACCCTGCCCTCCTCCTTATCCTTCTTATTCCCTCCCTCTCCCTTTGTCAGATTCAGTCTGTTCTTCTCGAATTGACCTTTGTATATTAGAAATATCTATCCATCTTCCTGTCCTTTATCCACTCCTTTCCGTCGCGTCCTTTACTTCACAATGGCTTCGGCTGCTAGATCTGCTTCGCGCGCCTTCTTACGCTCCACTCCTGCTACCTCCTCCGTCCGTCCTGCAGTCCGCGCCGCTCGTTTTGCTCTCCCATCTCAAGGCTTCCGCGCCGCTGCTCGTCGTGGCTATGCCTCCGAAGCCAACTCGGGCAAATCCTCGTCTAACGTCTTCCTCTGGGCTGGTCTCGCCGTGGCTGGTGGTGCCGGTGCTTACTTCTACCTGAACGGCAGCGACTCCGTTAGCACCAAGACCTTTGTTCCTGGCAAGGAGGACTACCAGAAGGTGTACGATGCCATTGCTCGCCGTCTTGCCGACGAAACCGACTATGACGATGGCAGCTACGGACCAGTAAGACTTCCCCCGCTTGTCAAAAAGATATATGGGCTATGAACAGAGTGCTGACTTCTGGTGTTTTAATAGGTCCTCGTCCGTCTCGCATGGCATGCAAGTGGTACCTATGACAAGGAAACCGGCACTGGAGGAAGCAACGGCGCTACCATGAGATTCGCCCCCGAGTCCGACCACGGCGCCAACGCTGGTCTCAAGATTGCTCGGGACTTCCTCGAGCCCATCAAGGCCCAGTTCCCTTGGATTACCTACTCTGATCTCTGGACTCTCGCTGGCGCCTGCGCCATCCAGGAGGCCGGTGGTCCTGCCATTCCCTGGCGCCCTGGCCGTCAGGACAAGGACGTAGCTGCCTGCACCCCTGACGGACGTCTCCCCGATGCTTCCAAGGACCAGAGGCACATCCGCGACATCTTTTACCGCATGGGATTCAACGACCAGGAGATCGTTGCTCTGATCGGTGCCCACGCTCTGGGCCGTGCTCACCCCGACCGTTCTGGCTACGACGGCCCCTGGGACTTCAGCCCCACCGTTTTCACCAACGAGTTCTTCCGACTGCTTGTTGATGAGAAGTGGCAGAGCCGGAAGTGGAACGGCCCCGCCCAGTTCACGGACAAGACCACCAAGACCCTGATGATGCTTCCCGCCGATCTTGCCCTGGTCAAGGACAAGGAGTTCAAGAAGCACGTCGAGCGCTATGCCAAGGACAACGATGCCTTCTTCAAGGATTTCTCTGACTCTTTCGTCAAGCTTCTCGAGCTTGGTGTTCCCTTCAAGGCTGAGGACCGCTACGTCTTCAAGACCTCTGAGTAAGGAGCTCCACTGTTATTACTTCGATCTCTTTCCTTTGTCTAGACAGCATTGCATTTCTCGTTTGTTCGTATCTTGATATCCGACATGTGATTTGTCGTTTGCTGATGGCCGTGTCATTGCGTGACGCTTGATTCACTCCGAGAAACTTGGGCGACGAGTTAGAGCACGTCATAAATTGGGTTATAAACTGTACATTGGTGCCAATAGACATATACCTGGCATTAACAATATCAACAAGATTTCATTTTTGGTTGCATACTCTGAATTTCACCTGCAGAGCGTAGAAGCTTGGTCTGCATTCAATTAAGAAGTTCAAGTTGCGCTGGCAAGACCCATGATCAAAACACGGCGGAACCGCTTCAAGTCGAGAGGTGGCGGTAATCCGACCTCAATTTTTTGTTCCGATTCAACCTCCGCGGGCTTCATCCACTCACCTTTTGCACTTATTCTACGATCAAGGAACACTTATGCCTAAGTAACGGGTACCTCTCGAATAAACCATCCTCTTCTCTTCTCAAACGCTACCATCACCCCCCAAAACGCCGCCCACATCATGACCAGATCCCAGACCCCGCGACACGATTACTACGAAATCCTCAACCTCCCATTCACAAGTCCCCCAACAGCCTTATCCAAACAACAACTCAAGGTCGCATACCACAAGGCTCTCCTGAAACATCATCCCGACAAGGCGACTTCAATTGCGACCACTCCCGCACCCACACACGATACGAAAACCGCCCAGCGCCCGAGCTCCGACCGTAACGCTGATGCCTCCCCGACCTTCACTATTGACGAGATAACAGCGGCTTACAGGACGCTTTCTGACCCTGGCTTGCGCGCGGAATATGACCGTGTCCTCCGGCTTGAGCGGGTGACGGCGGGGAAGGGAGAGAAGAGCGCGGGGGCGGCGTTTCATACGGGTCTTGAGGTTGTTGATTTGGAGGATCTTGTCTGCGAGGAGACGGGCGATGGGGAGGGCCTATTGTGCTGGTATCGGGGTTGTCGGTGCGGAGATGAGAGGGGATTCATGGTTACCGAGCTGGATTTGGAGAAGGAGGCCGAGCATGGGGAGGTTGTTATCGGATGCCGGGGGTGTAGTCTCTGGATGAAGATTCTGTTTGCGATGGAAGAGGGCGATGGTTGAGCTTTGGATGCTGGAGGTTGAATTGGAATTGAGATTGGCTATATGGCCTGTCTTTTGCCCTGGTCGTTAGAGATCGAGGCTAGATACTCGCTGACTGTCCATCACTGGATAGGATTGAGAGGCGTGGTGTCTCGTTCAGAGTCATCGACTGGATCCAGGCATGTCAGGAACAGCCGTGCACGCATCGCTGGTCTAGGCGACGAGCTGCTCAGGGAGCTTTCTGGGTATAGAGGCCCGGTGGCTCCTTTACAGAGCAGGCTGTGCCAGTACGGGGCAGTTGGCCTCTGTCCCTACGTTGGGCGGTGTTTTAACGACCGACTGTAACGTGTAGTACACTCATAGAGATCTGTACGCGTCTATGCGACATTCGATATGGAACGGAGAATGAAGTTGCTCCATGAGTTTCATGAGGATAACTTGTGGATTGATGCACTGTTAATGGGGCGGAATGATTTTTATATATAAGCTAGTATGTCAATAACTATAAGCAGTCGTTAAAAATAACAGATCCAATCACGGTCATCAATCGATCAGGCACAAGATGCTACAGATAAAGCAGGAGCATGACAAGCTCTAGACTAATGCTATGCGTTCCTGGCTAGAAGCATTGCTGGTGCTGTCGGTGATGTTGTGGAGGGGCTCAGCTGATGACATATTTTGCCCGAAGAAGAAAACCACCATGTATCTCTCCTTCCCACTGTCAACTTCATCCTTCTTCCATTCATCTTATTAGCTGGTCAAAATACGCCGCCATAATGTCGGCACCTGTTCATATCTCCTCAAAGGAGCAATTTAGCACTCTTCTATCGACTTCCAAGTTCGTCGTCGCAGACTGTAAGCTCCCTGTTTGCTGATTCCCCGCCCCCGCTACTCGTCTTGCTACCCGCGACCGCGAGCTCTTAAGCCTACCTATCCCCGTGCTACGGACAGCTACTGACTATTTCCTCAAAGTTTACGCGGACTGGTGTGGACCATGCAAAGCTATCGCCCCCGCGTACGAGCAGCTGGCCAAACAGCTTTCGCGCCCGAACCGGATCACCTTCACCAAGGTCAACGTTGACGAGCAGCAAGACATTGCCCGTGCATATGGAGTTACAGCGTACGTCAAACGCATTCGACCTGCCATGCCTGACGCAGATTCCGAGAAATGCATAGATACTAACAGTCCCACCAGAATGCCCACCTTTATCGTCTTCCAACAAGGCCGTGCCATCTCCACCGTCCGCGGCGCAGACCCCAAAGCCCTCTCCGACGCCGTCCGCAAGCTCGCCGATGAAGCAAACAAGGACGACAACTCCGGCTCCGGGGAGGCCTCGGGTGATCTCAGCGGCGGGAACGGCTGGATCGGCGCCGCCGTGCCCAAGGGATACAGCGATATCACGGACCAGCACGACCCCAAGGGTCTGGAGCTACTGAACCGGGATAGCGACTTCGGCACCGCGAAGACGCTTTTCGATCCGTCGAAGCCGTCCGCGCTGAGTGACAACGGGAAGAGGAAGGAAGGCGCCCCCGCGGACTGGGTGGAGAGTGATACGGACGAGCAGCTGATGCTCTTTGTTCCGTTCCAGTCGACGAGCAAGGTCCATTCGCTGCAGGTGACTTCTCTTGCGTCTGCGTCGGAGGACGACGACGAGGCGCCTATGCGCCCGAAGACTATTCAGCTGTACACCAACCGCTCGCATGTCCTCGGGTTCGACGAGGCGGATGACATCACGCCGGTGCAGACCGTGACGATTCAGCCTGAGGATTGGGATCCCAAGACAGCGACGGCCAAGATCGATTTGCGGTTTGTCAAGTTCCAGAGCGTCACGTCCTTGGTCCTCTTCTTCGTCGATGGGGATGGGGACAGCGAGAAGCTGCGCGTGGATAGGATCAGGATCTTTGGCGAGGCCGGCGAGAAGAGAGAAATGGGCAAATTGGAGAAGATAGGTGATGAGCCGGGCGAATAAGCTATTCCATGAATTGTAAACGGAAGGTAGTTACAGTACCTTAATTCCGTATGGAGGACAGTGTCGGACATAGCATACGAGATTAGATTTACGACCTACGATGACTTCAGAGAAATCCAATTCCCAAGACATTATATTTCATTCGCTAATCGCTACGAGTCTATCGCAATCCCACGTAAACGCAAAATGAAGTTTGTCCGATCCCAAACCAAATGGTCTCATCCTTGATAAAATTCAGAAAGACCAATAAAGTAGAACCGGTGTGCAATTCCGTCGCTCTGTGACACAACTGACACCTGGGATAACATCACGAGAATTGATGTCCAGGCAACACGGGTGAAATAGTAGTTGCGTCGCCGCACGAAGAAAGAAAAGAAAAAGAAAAAAAGTAAGAATGCTGGCTGGCTGCGACGAAATTTATCCTTGTGCGAGATTCGGAGGATGGAGATACTCTTTTTCCGTATGAGGCTGGACAATCCGGTGAATATGAGTATTACGTAATCTTTTTTTTTCTGTGTGTGGATGCGAAATGCCAAGCGAGGAGAGTCCTCCATAGAAATTTTCTCTCCTTCTCTTCTTCTTTTGTCTTCTTCATGACATACGCCTGTGATGAGACTATTGGATGAATATATGATAGGAAGAGACTGAGTCTCCCTCTGGGAGCATGATCTCAACATTCTACATCCACTGAGGCTGTTGCATTTACCTGTTTATTTCTGGTGGTAATGTAGATAGTGGTGGTTCGAGGATTGTTTGTTTAGTGTTTACGCGTATGGTTGTGCTGGTCGTTACCCCCAGAAGACAGGAACAAAGCAGTTGTTCTTTGTCTGGAAATGAGGACTGGATGGTACGGGGGACAATGATTAATGGTCTGGTTCTCTGTGGCTGGTCATTAATTTCTCGAGTACCTGCAGATGCAGCCATTTTCAGCACTGTCGACAAGGTTCGGCTGCTGTGTGGTATTGAACCATGTAGGTTAGCATAAGCCTTTCCATGATCTGGACGGCTGTATGGTCTCGTGCTGCATTGCCATGTTGGACTTCTCAATAATAAGCCTGCTTGTATGTGTAAGTTGGACAAGGTGCATGGTTCTCATGCCGTCTTTTGCTTTAAGGTGCAGCCTTGCTCACCTTGGCAAGGCCCAGTGTCAGCCAGGGACATCCCACAGGTACTCAGAATTGGTGCTCCTGTGTTAAGCCTACGTGGCATCACGGCTGCTCATGAGCTTGATTCTCAAGGTAGCTCTTCCCCACAGTACCCAAAGTCTCAAGCAGAGTACCAAGCACGGGCGAGGAGTCGAGGACACAACTTGATCACTGCGCCGGGTCATTACGCAAATACCCCGTACGCACAGCGCACCTTTTGGAATGTCCTCGTGTTCTGCGCTATGATCCAGGTTAGCCTTCAATGATTTCCACTTTGACCCAAGGAACCGTACAGCCACCATGGTCTCGTCCTGAAGGATCTGCCAATGGAATACCTTACACGCTTATCGCTTCTCTCCTAGATCATTCCTTGACCGACAATCAGTCGTGCTGCTCGGCAATACACCGAGCAGCAGTGGGAGAAGAAATTGGTTTCTGCCTCGCAAAATGGCGTTATCTGGAGCCAGTGGTTGAGCCAGTGGTTGGGAGGACTTCCGAAGCGGAATCGGACGTCGATCAGGAACAAGGGTTTGAACTTTGGAGACGCCGTCAGTCAAGTCCCAAAGCAGTGAAAGCGCACCGTATCGTCGCATTTCTTTCCAGTTCCAGACCAATGACCGTTCCAGTTGTCTCATGCATGGTCCCTCTGGCGACCCGCGCCTTCACTCGATTGGAGCATCGCGGTCTGACGAGCACACCGCAGTTGATTAGCTTCTGAGCTTCTCGGCCAAGGACTCAAAGAAGTCAAAGTGGTATCTTGGAATGTGGAGTAGCGCGACAGTGAATCCTTCCAGATAGAGTTCACGCCTGGATTTGTCGGGATCGCACTATTTGAGATGGCCTGCCCAAGCTTCGTATGTGGAGATTCGATTCGTCTGCACCTCCCCGTATCAGCAAACAGTGACCACTTCTCTCAAATCCGGACCTGGAGCTGAAAATCAAATGTATAGCCTGGCTCCAGAGACTCTCCACAAACCTTGGTGACCTTTAGGCTTGCAGTTGTAGTAGTGAACCAGTACACATAACTTCCTCCCCGTTATGGATGTTGGGTGTTATGGACCACCATCCGTCTAGGTATGACACATATCCAGCCCAGCGACGTGATAGGCCAGGATCCAATCTCAGAAACAGAGAATTAAGAGGCTAGGTAGCAGGGTCGAGTCATGTAACGTGCAAAAGCTCCGATTTCTGGATAGCAGCAGCCTAACCCCGCTTTGCCTTGATAATATGTGCTGATATTCTCGGTCCTCGGCAAACATGTCTTCATCACAGCTGCAGAGTCCATCCCAGCGTTCAGTAACCTCCAGATTAGAGTTCCGTCACGAGAGTTACCAGAGGGATGGCATTGTCATGTCGACGGTGAGCGGCGCCGGACAAACTCTGTTTTTCTTCACCCTTGCCGTCCGTTCTAAACGTGGAGATTAGAGCCACCTGAGGAGAGTTTAGTGATTCTCTGTATCCGTATCTGAGAGAGGTACGAGCTTGTAGACTTTCTCTGGTAGTATGGACTATGGAGGACTAGGGAACCTTGGAACTCTCTTCCCACGTTTCGGCTGCGCCCATCCAAGAAAGATCAACAACATACCGTAGATGGCTTAGACTCGGCCTCGTCGACCAATACCAGTTGCCCATCAATGCACTCAGGATGCAGGAACAGAAAAACGACCACACAGGAAATCCCGCTCCATAACCCTCCCTTTCCTCTATGGTACGGTACAGTAGCGGGTTAGCGCCATGGTTTAGTATGTCCACCTCCACAAATCCAAGGGCAATCTGCATCCCGCGTCCTCCGGAGAGACTTAGCATGCAGTAGCCTCACCCGGCGAACACAATCCGGCTGTGAGCGCTGAGGGGTCGCCATGAGTGCACGTGTTCGAGCCCTCGACCTAGGATGCTCTCTGATGAT